CGCTCCTGCTCGCGCCCACCGGGGTCCGCGCCGACCGCGAGCACGTGCGCGAGGCGTACGTGGACGTGATGCACCGCCTCGGCGAGACGCGCTTCGAGCGCCGCATGGCGCTGGCGGACCTGCAGCGCGCGAGGGCGGCGTCGCCGGCGCCCCTGTGGACGATGACGCACGCGACGGACCCGCTGGGCCTGATGGGGCGTGTCGGGGCGGAGGTGCAGCCGATCGAGTGCGTGCACGACTGGTTCCTGTCCCCGGTGGCCCTCGCGATGGGGCTCAAGTGGTTCGACCTCGGGAAGGCGTCGCTGCCGCCGGTGCGCCTCGCGTGCTGGGGCGAGTGCCTGCACGACCGGGTGTGCATCCCCGCCGTCGCGTACTGCGCGGACCACATCCGCTGCAGCCTCGCGGAGGCGGCCGGGTGGCCGACGGTGATCATCTACTTCTACTCGACGAACGGGCGCGTCGACCACTGCTACCACTGCCGCTACCACCGCGTCGAGTGCGCGCTGATGGGGGTCCGGCTGCTCGCCGAGCTCCCGGTGTTCCGCGCGCCCCAGAGCTTGCCGCCGCCGTTCGAGTTCAAGCGCAGGCGCTCGACGTTCCTGCTCAAGGGCCCGCACCGCGACGACATCGTCAAGCTCATGCGCACCGAGTCGGAGGCGCTCAAGGAGGAGCGCAAGATGCTCTACGAGGCGGAGAAGGAGCTCACGGTCGTGCACGACGAGCTGCTGAACACGCGCGCGATGGAGCGCGTCCTGGGCTTTTAGGCGGTCCTCGACGCAATGGAGCGGGTCCTAGGGTTCTGACGTGAGCGTGCAGTTAAGCCTGTGCAGTAGTCAGCGTCTGGTCGGTGTGTAGTTAGTGTGTAGTGAGTCGCAAGGATGTATACAGTGACAGTGTGACGATGAGAGAGAACGTGAGAACAAGCGAGATGTTGTGGAGCTCTCGCCGATGCCTCCACCTGGGTGGGTACCGTGGGAAGGGTGTCCGTGGGAACACTGGAGTCTCACCGCGCCGGCTGCCTCACTGCACGACGTCACTCCACTGCACGGGGTCATTCACTGCACGAGGGCCCTCCACCGGCGGCACTCCACTGCACGAGGTTACCGCACTGCACGAGATCCCACCACTGCGCGGGGTCACTCCACTGCATCAGGGATGTCCATTGCACCGACACCCTCGACTGCGCCGGCTCCGTCCATTGCACCGGCTGCCTGCACTGCGCCAGCTGCGTCGACCGCGCCGACACTTTTCCCACTGCACGACAAAAGCTCATCGGACACTTTGTACCATTACACGACTATCCTCACCCGGCACTTTTCTTCACTGCACAACCAATCCTCACGGGGGAGTTTCTGCCACTGCATGACTAGTCCTCACCGGGCACTTTCCACTATTGCACCGCCTAGCCACACCGTGCAGCTGTGAAGGGCCAGCATCCACCTGTCGGCGTATATCTGTGACATGCTTGCTCGAGTCACTGCCTGATCACTCCGTCATCTCGTGGACCCTCTCACTCTCGTGAACCCTCTCCCGGGTTGGGCGGCTCCAAACTTTGCCGTTTGTCGACGCCGTGACCATGCACCCTCCGTGCATCCACCCTGTGTACCGTATCCACCGGCCGTGCGTCCACCCTGCTTCCTCCGGCCGGGCTGTACCTTGAGCATGCTCTGTCGAGCGGCTGTCCCTTCGATTGTCGCCATCTCCAGCTCGCCGTTCGACGGGAATCCCTTTACTTTTGCGAGGCCGTTCATTCACCTCGCCGTGATTCTTCCGTTCCGGGCTGCTCTGCTCCGGGGTCTCACGACGACCAGGCACTGTCGGTTTCCCCAGGCACCGACGGCCTGCTGGCAGTTTGCCAAGCAATGGGTTGTGCTCGGAGTCTCGGACGGAGAGGGTTCCGCAGAGGGTTAAGTCCGGCTGCCGTACTTGCTCGCTCTGACACTCCTCCAAAGATTGAGTACGCCAGAGACTGGTCTCCGCGGTAGCCAGGCGGGTGGGTACGACAGGGTAGCTACACAGCACGGCAGGGTGGATACATTGGTACGGTCAAAGTGGATACGAGGGTGGATACGGAGGGAAGATGCAGCAGGTGGATACGGCAGCGTGGACACAGTGACACGGTGCGCAGGGTGGATAGCGATCGACTTCAACGCTCAGAGATGGGCGCGTACGGCGGGGTGGATGCAGTAACACGGCGAGAGGGTAGGCAGTGGCTGCGGTAGGCAAGATACAGCGACACGACAGGTGACAGTCTTGCGGCAGGGTGGATACGGTACGAAAAGAGGGGATCCCGAGCGATCACAGCGGATACGGTAGGCAGGTGGACACGGCAGCGTCGGCCTGGATACGGTGGATACGGTAGGCAGGGTGGATACGGTGGGTACGGTAGGCAGGGTGGATACGGCACGCAGAAGACAACGATATGGCCGCCGTCAGAGGGGATCCCGTTCGATCAGAGATGGCCGCGGCAGGGTGGATACGGCATGGACAGATCCCGTTCGATCGGAGAGCAGGGTGGATACGGTAGACAGGGTGGATACGGGCAGGGTGGATGCGGTACGGCCGGAGGGGGTCCTGATCGGACAGAGTGGATACAGCAGACAGGGTGGATACGGTACGGCCGGAGGGGAATCCGATCAGTCAGAGTGGATACGATGGCAGCAAGCAGTTCAAAAGAGGATACAGTGATACCTCGCTGTACCTACGTACGGGTACGGTGCATGCTACAGTGGATTTTCAGGGCTAGATAGTGCCTGTTTCCGTGCCTGCCTGATGGATGCCCCGACCCCGCCTGTTCCGGCTGGTCCCTGCCTGCCCGCCTGTTTGAGCCTGGCTGCCTGCCCGGTGGCCCGCCCGCTCGAGCGGAAATCGGCGTTTTCGAGCTAAACAATATACTACGGTTGATTATCTAACAAATGCGTATCAGGCTTATCCCAGCATGAGTATCGTTAGTAGTCAGTTAGTATTACCTGGAAGAATCGAACCCTGGTGTTAGCCGCTCAATGTTGACCACTTACCGGTACACAATGTTTGCCCCTTAAGGGGTATAGGGGATCGTCCCTGATCAGCCGCCCAGGCACCCGTCCTTGTTTCACATTTACCCACCGGGGGGATCCACGCCAGCGTACCGGGACGATCCACCCCTGCCTATCAAGCAGCCACCATTGTTTCGGATGCATCCACCCTGCCCCCGCTTGTTTCACATTTACACACCGGGGCGATCCACCCGTGCGTGCCGGGACCATCCACCCAGGCACTGCATCCACCCTGCCTCCACCCTTGGGTGAGCATTGCATACCGCGGAGCATCCACTCTGCGTACCAGGAACCTCCACCCTGCATCCACCGTTGGGCGGCCATTGCATACCGCGCTGCATCCACCCTGCGTACCGTATCCATCCACCCTGCATCCACCTGCCGTATCCCGCTTGGGTGACACTTGCGCACCGGGCAGCTGCCACGCTGCGTACCGTATGCATCCACCCTGCATCCACCCGCCGTATCCACCCGCGGGACATTCAGTACGCCGTGTACCGTCACTGGACGACTCTTGCTCACCGTGCGGGATTCACCACTGCGCCGCGCATCGTCACTGCGTGGAGTTCGCTCACTGCACCGCGTATCGTCATTGGACAACTCTTGCTGACCGGGCGAGATCTACCATTGTGCCGTGTATCGTCACTACGCCGTGCATCGTCACTACGCCGTGCATCGTCACTGGGTGACTCTAGCTCACTGCGCGGGATCAACGTTACCGCGGGGCTTGGATCCACCGCCGCGATAACGCTCACCGCATGAACGCGTTCTACCGCGGCAGACACTCGCACCGGGGGATTCTTCCATTGCGCCGCCGAGACACATTGCACGACTTGCGCACCTTGCATGGCCGACTGCGAGCCCGGGACGGAGCATCATTGCGCCGGGAGCTCTCACTGCACGACGCGTGGCCATTGCGGGGGACACTTCCATTGGACGGGGGGACACCATTGCGCCGCGGACTTGGATTGCACGAGAATTGGCCATTGCGCCGCAGACTTCGCGCCCGGGACGGATGACCATTGCGCAGGGGACTTACATCGCACCGCGAACTTTCATTGCACCACCATCGTCCATTGCACGGGGAGTTGCCATTGCGCCTGGGACTCTCATTGCACCGCTCGCTCCCAGTGTTAGGGGGTTA